TCCGGTCCAAGGCATGGGTCGACATGAAGCACGATTGCATTGCCTACATCCAGGGATGCCAAGTATGTCAGCGGACGAAAAGTTCCACGCAGGCCCCCCTTGGTCTGTTGAGACCGCTACCTGTCCCTTTCCGGTCTCGGCGACTCCGTGTCTATTAACTTTATGGATACCAAAATCAAAAGCAGAAACAGGAAGAGTAAGGTAATGGTAGTTGTAGGTCAACTCAGTAAATTTGTTGTTTTCATTCCGCTGCCCGCTGAGGGAAAGACTGACTTAGTAGTTAGAGAATTCTTCAATCATTGTGTGAAAGACTACGGACACCCACTGGCAATCATTAGTGACAGAGATAATGGGTTTACAGGCGAGCACTGGCGACAACTGATGAAAGTATATGGGTCAAAATTGACCATGTCATCTCACAGGCACCCGGAGACCAACAACGAAAGAGCAAACGAACAAACTGCTCCAGCAAGTGCTACGCATGTACATTACGCCCGACCAGATTGATTGGGATGAACATCTTCCCAAAGTGCAGTCTAAGTACAACAATTCGGTGCACCTGTCAACCGCACGCACCCCAAATGAACTGCGCAAGGGTTGGCAGCCCCGCGTCCAATTGACTGCCTGAACCGGGACTCGATTCAAAGATTGCCACCTTGTACTTCAGAACAAGCCAACATGCACGACCGTCGCAATTCGCTGTAGGTGACTTGGTCTGGGTAAAGTCAAAGGAGTTTGTTTCGGAAGAATGGATCTCGCAGAAACTGTTACCTGTGTATACTAACTACGACGTATAGGGGAGCATGGCAAGCGTTAGATGTCAAGGGATAAGCAGATGGTCCATGCTACATGATCGAGATTCCACCCCACCTGCACACACACCGAGCGTTCCACGCGTCTAAGTGGCTTCCCTGCGTAGCGAATGATCAGTTTCCCTCTCGTTGTTCCATGATTCCACCAGATATGGATGGAGGTTAGGACGTATATAGATAGAATAGCGGCCGAGAATGCCTTCCGCAGAGGCCGAAGAGGAAGACCGCAACGGCAGTATAGGGTTACATTCGCCTATTAGGAACCCAACGAAGAACGCTGGTTCCCCAGGGAGGAACTGATACAGACAGCCCCTCACATTGTTTCCTTTTATGAGAGGGCCCAGAGGGGAATGAATGTATATGACAGATAAAACGGAGATATTTCCTGGAGGACCTCAAAATTAGGCCGGCGGGAGTGAAAGGATTCATGCTATAACACCCCATTTCCCGGTACCAGGGTCCCGAACAGTCCCAGTCGACCCAGGTCCCAAGCTGTCCCAGTAGGAGGTCGTAGGGTCCGCAGGTCAGAGCGTCGTCGGTCTGTAGGCGTCGGTACTGAAATGTCGTGGGTCCGTAGGAGTCCGCCCGGTACCCGACAAGAAAAGTCCAGTCCAGTCCAGTATAGTCCCAAGTCCAATTTTTTAGCATGTCCCAAGAAAGTCCGGGAGCTACCGGACCGACAAAATGTTTACAGCAGACAGGCCGCGGCCAACCGGTACCGGTCTGAAGCAGGCCAAGCCAAGCCAAGTCAAGTCCTATATTTAGCTGCCACAGTGCAGCGGCTCATCACTTGTTCAATTGCAAGATGCGGAAGCGCTGCTGCTGCTTGTGCATTAAGGCAACTCGGGCACTTCGCGCCTGGAGAAGAAGGAAGGGGGTGCTTTGAGGGCTACTCCATAGCCAGGGAAGACGAAGATAGGGAGTATGGTGGCCATAGCCGCCAAATGTGAAGCTTACCTGAGTGGGTGTATCTAAGGTTTGATCGAGAAAGTGAGGTAGAGTGTTCCAAGTCTGAGAGAATAAAAAGACCGAGAGAGAGAGAGAGAGAGAGAGAGAGAGAGAGAGAGAGAGAGAGAGAGAGAGAGAGAGTAGAGCCATAGCCGATGTGGGGATGCTGAGTGTGTGATCGGCAGAGCCGTTAGTGACATAAAAAAAATTGTATAATAATGATAATTTGGTAACAATCTCTTCTTGCGGCGGCCTTGGCTTCTCATGTGTGAACTCTCATGTGATTTTTCATTGCATGGTCGCGGGGTTGAGTCCTGTGAGAACTTGGATCATTTCAGAAGGATGGAGGGCCGGCTATGATCTGCACAGTAATTATGTCAGACGGTGTCAGAGGGAACATGCACTGCTGAGGTGGAAGTGGGAGAGAGAGAGATACATGTACTACTGATTACTATTGAGACTCTCCTCCTCTTCTCAATGTTTTATTTTCTCTCATGCTCTTTGTTGATGAGGCAATACTCTTGTATGGTGCATATGATTGAGACATCGACTGATGTTGGAGACTTCATGCGGGCGCTGGGTTCAGACTTCAGACTTCTATTGCATTGCTGACTGGTTCTCAACAAGACTGGGTTCATTACAATAAAAGCAAACTTATGTAATTACTAATTAGCAAGATTTGCATTAAAAAAAAAAAAAAAATTAAAAAAATTGTTACTTGCATTACAGGTGCATGACTAGCAGAACCAAACCTTGCTGTCCTCTCTCTCTCTCTCTCTCTCTCTCTCTCTCTCTCTCTCTCTCTCTCTCTCTCTCTCTCTCTCTCTCTCTCTCTCTCTCCGATGTGTGTGTGAAGGAAGCATGCCATGGTATTAGGACCACAGTTGTCGTCGCGGGTGGTTTCTGCATGGCCAGTTGAGGCTTGGACACTGTCTTCGCTTGATGCGGTTGCATTTAATGATTTGATCTATCTGTCTGTCAGTCAATGAGGGGGTTGTTTGGTAGCGGATAAGGTGATGGAACAATTGACTAGAAGAAGTGCGTAGAAATCTAGAGTTGTGGAGTGAGTGAGCAATCCAATGGCCCTAGTCTCCAAATCATAAAATATTTTTAAAAAAATAGAGAAAACAAATTCCATTGGGATTCGGGCTCGGATATGTGTTTCAAACAGTTTGTGGATGTACCAACTGAGGCAGGCCAATTGGTTATTTCGAGAAAACAATTGAGCCAGCATATCCCAGATCTTAAACCACTAGTACCTCCACCAGTGTTGGGAAAATAGGGAAAACTAGCAGTTTTTTCATTTTCAGTTTCTCCCCCAAAAAAAAAGCTCGGAGGTCCCGGAGGCTCGGCAAGAAAAATAAAGCTGGGTAGCAAGGCGTACGTGTACGCCACTTGCACATACACACGCACACGTATTCCTGTACGCAACACGTACACGTACTCCCGTAATATGAAAAAACAAAATCGAAAAAATCTGAAAAGAAAGAATTTTATGCAAAATGATATTTCAAACAATTGTTGCCTGAGACTCATCTCAAAATTCTGTACTTCACTTTAGTTAAAAATCAAAAACACAAAAAATATAAAGTTGAAAAAAAAAAAAAAAAAAAAANAGATGTGTATAAGAGACAGCGTCACGTACGTGCGTACATGTACTCCCATACGTGGGAATACTAAAAAAAAAAAAAAAACAAAAAAAAAAAAAAAAAAAAAATAAAAGTTAAAAAAAAAAAAAAAAAAAAACAAGGGAAAAACAGAAAAAATGAAAACAAAATTCTGTAACGAATATATGTTATGCAGAATCATGATACAATCAACTTTTGCCTGGGAGTCATTCCCAAATTTCCAACCAAACTCGAGTAGCGAATCAAAAACTAAAAAAAAAAAAAAAAGAGGTAATATTATCATAATAATTGAAAAACTACTTTGAAGTCCGAAGTATTTGTTCAATTTCTAATTATTTCTTTAAGGTATTTGATTTTTAACTTGAGCTTGGTTGGGAATTCGGGGATGACTCCCATGCAGAAGTTGTTTGTATTCCTATTCTGCACAACATACTTTTTTAAGTTTTTCCAGATTTTACTTTTATGAAGTTTTTTTTTGTTTTTTTTTTTTACCTACGCATACGCGCGATTTTAGATACGTATGCGTACACCGGAATACGTACACACACAACATATATTTGTTTCAGACTTTTCTGAGAACTTTTTTTTGTTTTCTGTTCTCTTTCGGACGGTTCTAGTGCTCGTTCGCATTCGGTCGTTCGCGTTCGGTCGTTCGCGTTCGGGTTTGGTCACCAAGCACGAGCACGATGCTACGCAGGTTTAGTTTCAAATTGCCCACTCGTGAAAGAAAAAAAAAAAAGATGCTTTCTCTACTGCAATGCTGTCGGGCAGGGTACTCTAGGAGGCCGTGCTCACCGTAGTCCTATACAGAATGAATCTTTTTTTTTTTTTTTTTTTTCACAGAATTAATCTTGCTGCTAAAACGGTCAGATTGTGGATGTTGCTTTCTCTTTTCTTCTTACTTTTACAAGTCCTTGCCGGCGAGCAAGGGCGTAGTCCGTGACTTGCTCAAGCTGTGTTTCCTTCCTTAGAGGATTGCCACCGTGATCACACTGGCACTCAGACGAATGTATCCACACAGCCTATATCACGGCCGAATCTATGTTTCTTTTTATTTTTTATCTTTGTATTTCTTGAATCGGACACTCTGGCCACGGGGCTGAGACGCCCTCAGTGAGGGCACACACACTACCACTTCCAAGAATATGTTTACGACTGCTGCGTTTCATGGCCAAAGCATTGTTTCTTTTTTTTTTCTCTTCTGTGAGTTTCATGGCGACGACTTTTTTCTTCGTCTTTTCTTTTTTATGGTTCTTTCCGTGAGAGTACGGGAAAAGAAAATGGAGTGGGACCCAAGCTCGGCAAAACTCGGAGCACAGTGAAATTCAGGCTCGGCAAAAATAGGCTCCGAGCTACTAGTGGTTTAAAAGAAAAACCGTCAAAAACGTCTTTTTCTTTTAAGCCAGACTGCACACAGCTAAGTAGATCTATACAAAAAAAAAAAAAAAAAAAAAAAAAAAAAAAAAAAAAAAAAAAAAAAAAAAAAAAAAAAAAAAAAAAAAAAAAAAAAGAGTTTCAAACACTGACTAGAAGAGAGGTGTTCAGTTGTGGATAAGATTGCAAATGGTGGTGGACAAGATGGTCAACCGATCGATGCAGGCCACTGTCTAGGACTTCTCTTCTTTATTTATTATGAATGTAATTGCGGTCAGATGCATCCAGGTCTGGTCCTAAATGTGGTCCGATACGCCCTCAGGAAGAGAACAACTGGGTACGTAACACAACCTCAAGCTGCAGAGAGACTACACCCTCAGAGAAGAGAACTGGGAAGTAGCACAACCTCAAAGATGCAGAGAGACTTGCGCAATGCTTTGGCATTTCTCTCCCCGCATCATGAAAAAAGGAGGAAAAAAAATTGAAGAACTCCAGAAAAAAAATAAATGAGCCAGAAATCCCCAAAACAGCTTAAAAAAAGAACTGGAAGCCTAGAAGGTGAAGAAGAAGAAGAAGAAGGAGAAGGTTTCGCAGTCAGCAAGGACTCAAGCGACATATGGGTCGGTTGAAAAGAAAGCAGCCGAGAGCCAAAAAAAAAAAAAAGAAACAAAACAGACGAGACTAGCTGCAGATGGCAAGCTGGAAGAAGATACCTACCTACCAAGCAATCAAACAAAGTTGTCGTCATCTCGAAGACTCAAACAGACAGAAGAGAAGGATACGGAATCACGGATGCTTCACTCCCGAGAATTACATCACTGTGCGGCTCCGAGTTCGGCACAAAGCGACTCTCTCGCTTTAACCACTACTCTGCGTAACATAACAAAGCGTAAAAAAAATTCGGCATAACGTTTTTGTCAAGAAGAGAGGAAAGGAGATGGCTGGAAGAAGGAGCAGAACTGTGCTTCCTTCATTAACGTGCCTTTTTTTTCCCACCCTCCTTAGCAGGGAGGGATGTGGGGGCAAAAGACAAAGACATAATACGAGAGAGCAATGGAAAGAACACGAGCAGAAGCCCAAGGACATGGAAAGGAAAGTAAGATCAGTGGAAAAGAAAGAAAAGGGCAGACCAAATAAAAGATGACATAGCCAGAAAAACAGCTTTCTTCCTTCTGGTGGGCAGGAGGACGAAGCATAGGAGAAAGGAGGAAGCAGACAGACCGCTGTGTAGAAACAATCCTTCTGCCAGGAGGAACCACGGGAAGGTGGAAGCAGGCAGCTGTGCAAAAACCAACAAATGCACATGTATTATGTACGCTTTCATGGAGAACGGAAAGAACGAAACAGAAGAACAAACCTAACACCTCTCCTTGCTTAGTGAAGGAGTGAAAGGACAGAGAAAAGATGCAGACACGAATGCAGAACTGCACGCAAGCGAGGGGTGGTGTCCTCCCGCACACAAGCGGTAATATAGACACTGCGGACATTCCTTTCACAGAAGGACAGACGAGCACACTGATGGCGAGGGGTGGTGTCCTCCCCCTCCTTCCATGGACGGGGAGACAACAGACAGATGATGAGGGGTCCTTCACTCCCCCGTGAAGGAAAAATATGTAGGGGTGCACCTGGGGGGACACAGGTGTAATTGCCAGACATGCAGACAGGGACCGGACCGCAATATGCAAGGCAACGCACACATAAGAATAAGATGAGATACCCATCATTCGGAGAAGGGCATCGACGGACGGACAGGCAAAGCACTCTACTCCAGTTGGCAGGCGAAGAAGACCTAAGTGAAACACGCATAGACAAGCAGGCAAACAGCCCAGGATTAGGTGATGAACTTCCAGCCAGCTGCTAGTCGGTAAGATCGGCGGAGGGAAAGGAAAGAGAAAGGAGGGAAAGGGACGGATCGGGTTTTGAATTCTGAGTTCCAATAGACAGACGGCGTGGCACATAGACTGAATCTGGAATTCAGAGTGCTGATAGACAGATGGGCGCGGCAAATAGACGGACAGGATGGCATATGCGGCAGACAGGATGAAGAGACGGACAACAATAGCCTCTGCCAGGTGATAGAATTACAGCGCTCCCAGCTCATCTGTACTGGGTTGAAGTATAGAGGAAACAAACAGCGCAGCGCACAAGGGACAATAGCATTTAAAATTTTGAAAACTAAAACAAGAGACCATGTTTTCTGAGATTAGCAATAAAATGAACAGCCAGCTGAGTTCCTCTCCTGACGAAAACAGCTGGCTCGCCGATCGGTGCAGGAACCTTGACCCAGCTACCGGTCGGAGCTTGAAGGAGACTCTGGAACGGGGTGGAATATATATTTCGGGTCCAGACGTGTTCCCATTCCTCCGGCTCTCCTTGGTACGGAAGGTAAACGCTGGCCATGTTGGCGCCTCGATCTAGAACAGGAGCCACAATCATGTCCCTTCCAACCATGAATTGGCTGTAGGATAGAGAGAAAACCCTCTTGTCCTTTGGGTAGTGCAGGAAAGGATGTCTGATAACAGGCAGACCGGTGGCCGCGGCCTCTTTGACGAGCTGGATGCGGTAGAAATCCCAAGCTTTGAACACACAAGCGAAGCGGCGGAACTGATCGAGAGTACGTTCGTTGTCATAGATCTGCACATTCTCTTCAGGAACACTCCCTTCGTGAGTGCGGAAGACTGTCATAAATGCGCCCAACTCGATCCAACGAAGAAGAAGTTCCTCTGAGCGGCGATACTTAACCACTGGAATCGTTGTGCATCCGCCGACATCACCATGATTGTAGGCAAACCCGGAGAACCCGGAGCTCAGCATCCCCGTTACAGCACTCTTGATGCCGTCGTGGCGTTGCCAGCTCACCATCTGATCTCCAAGCGAGAAGAGCGTGCAAGACTTGGGGCTCTTTCTAAACCCCGACCTCATGAAGAAGACCAGCTGCTCTTCTTCTTCCTCCTCCTCCTCGTGGTCCTCTTCTTCTTCTTCCCTCTGCACTTCCTCCTCTTGTCCCTTGGGCTGCCCATTGCTCTCATCACCGTTCTTGTCCTCCATAACGGGCATAATCGCATCTTCGCTGATCTCAGACACCGCCTTCTGTTGGCCATTCTCAGTGGGACCAGTAGCAATAGCCGCGGCACCAGCCTCCGCATCGTGCCCGGCAGGAGATGCAGCTGCTGCATCACCTCGCCCGCTCGGTTGTGGCTTCTTCTGCTGTGCCTGCTTGCCGTCCCGGGACTCATCCTCGTCATCGCTATCCCTGGCAAGATAAGGATCAGCTCCTGCGGCCACCTCTGCCCGCTTTTCCATGCCACCTTCCTGAAAATCCCTCCGCCGCTTGCGAACCTCGGCTTCCCATTCCTCCGCCACCTCCCTGTTCAAGGACGCCCATAGCTCTGGAAACTGATTGTGCATGACAGCCGGGTCCTCTCCCGAGTCCAAGATGCAATCGTACGGCAGATTTTCGCCGAAATCCGCCATCCACCCGCTAATCCCTGTCCTGATCATATCCTTGATTGCTCCCTTCAGCCAGGTCTTTGCGGCCGGGTTTGTCAGGTCGACAAGTGCCGCGCTAAAGGTTCTGTACTCGATCATGTAAGGGTCACCCAACCTGTTCTTGACACCATAGCCGCCCTGCTCAAGCTCTGTGAAAAAGCTCCTCCTGTAATTAGCCTTCTCATTTACCTCCATCACAAACGGGTTGATGTACGTCAGGACGCGGACCCCTGAGGAACGCATTTCGTCAACCAATTCTTCCCATCTGGGATAATGGTCCACATCCACCTCCCAATTCCACCATAGCTGCTTGTCCACGCTCGTGAGACGTTGACCTACCCAATCCTGAATCCAGAAGCCTCCCAAAGGTACATTCAAGTCCCGAAACTTTTTCCACAGTTCCCGGACCCTTGCCGAGCCTCCCTGAATACCGACAATCGGACCCCGGACCATCCATTTTGGCAGCTTTCGGATCCTTCCATTTAGCTCCGTGTACCTGCCAATCAACTCTGCAGGTGACGTACCGTGCAAGATCCTCCCCAGCATCTCTGAGCAATGGACCTGAATCTGGACCAGGTCTGGCCTCCTCAGGTCGAACGTGGACATTTCATTGTTCTCAAGGTACAAGGATCGAAGATCAGAAGTCACATAGTGGGGGACCGGAGCGTATGTAGTATACCAATCGCCTCCACCTCTGCTGATGTTCGCATTGGCAAACCAAGTGACGGGTACATCCCCCCGGCCGATGCCCTGTTCCTGGACCAGAATTGGAACTCGGCGCCCCTTCAGGTCCACATATGAGAACTGTGCTCCAAACCCAAAAAAACGCTCCTCCTCACTTGACAGATAGGTCAAGATCACCCGATTGGCTCCCTTCCTCCCAGCATGCTGTTGCTTCTCTCGATCGCTGCCACCCCACTCTCCCCTCATCCATTTCTCCAACCACTCTCCAAATCCTGATGCTTTATCCGCTTCTGCTCCTCTTCCTCCCTTCTCATTTTTTTGCCCACCCACAAAGGGCCGGAACGAGCTCTTCTCTCCTCCTCCTCCTCCTCCTAGTCTGGCCTTCTCCCCAACATCCCTCCCTTCAACAATGACATCGCTATACTCCCCACCTATATCAATCCCCATCATTCCGTCCTCTGAGATCCAGTCTCTGCCCCTTCCTCCCTCCTCCTCTTCTTCGTCTTCATCCGCATCCTCCACGCTGGCTGCAAAACTGAGAACATGGTCTGACATTTCCCACATCTCGAACGAGTACCCTATCCCCTCCTTCTCCCATCCACTCTTCACCAACTCCTTTGCCGGGACGGCCATCAACGGGTCGACATCAAGCCGCTCCTGTATCCGGGAGAGCCATTCAAGTCCCGACTGTGCCTCTCTTGGTTTTTCTTTCCTCCAATGGAAAGTGGGGGGAAGCAGTCTACCCTTGATCAGCAACTTAGGATGGTCATCGAACCGTGCAGATTCCAATCCAGCCCTGCGCTGTCGCCTCCTTCTCCCACCACCTCTTCTTCCTTTGCTAACCTGCCTCCTGCTGCTAACGGCATGACTGCTCTCCTTGTACAATGGTGGGGGAGATGACACAATCAGCTCCTCAGGGTCTTCTCCCTCTCCTCCTATGACCACCTCTGCATTAACGTCTGCTTCTGCATCCCCCTCCTCATCCTTCTCCTCCTCGGAGTCCGACTCCGCCTCCACGCAAAGAATCTTATCCACACTCTGATGATTGTAGATCCGCAACGGTCGGTCGTGAACGGCGAAGGATCCGCACCGTTCTTCCACGTGTCGCTTGCAGAACGCCCCGCCAACAAATGCACGGCCAGGGTAAGATGACCACACAGCACGATCAGGTTCGCTTCGGTGATGAACGGTCAAGATGCCATGGCCGTCGCTCTGCAGCCACGTGGCCAAAAAATTCTTACCCACTGGAATAGTCCTTGAATGCTGCGAACCTGGATTGAATAGCAAACGTCCATCAATGAATGGCAGACTCTCCGGTCTGCGTGGAAATGGGGAGTTTAACTCCTTCATAGGGACCGCCATTCTCTCTCTCTCTCTCTCTCTCTCTCTCTCTCTCTCTCTCTCTCTCTCTCTCTCTCTCTCTCTCTCTCTCTCTCTCTCTCTCTCTCTGTGTGTGTGTGTGTGTGTGTGTGTGTGTGTGTAGACTCTCTCTCTCTCTCTCTCTGTGTGTGTGTGTGTGTGTGTGTGTGTGTGTGTGTGTGTGTCTGTCTGTGTGTCTGTGTCTGTGTGTCTGTGTGTCTGTGTGTCTGTCTGCATGCCCCCCTCTCCGTGTCTAACTTGTCTCCGCTCTTCTTCCCCCCAACCTCTGATGTGAGACTCGGAGGCAGATGGATTGTTGTTTCCGAGAAGAGAAAATAATCCTCCGCCCAGGAAATGAGAGAGAAAGGCACCCTGATAAACGTAAGAGGAAAAGAGAGGAGTCAGAGGAGAAAAAGGGAGGAGACGATAAAGAGGGGAAAGGAGAAAGAGGAGAAAGAAGAGAGAGAAGAGAGAGAGAGGAGAGGCGAAGAAGCCAGATATTCTCTGGATGCTCGGGCAGTGCAAGACAAGGTAAAGAAAGGGGAAAGAGAGAGGAAAGAGAGGAGAGAGAAGCCAGAGGAGAGAGAAGAGAGAGGAGAGTGAAGAGAGAGGAGACGACAGAGTGCGAGAGAGTGAGGGGAGAGAGGAGAGAGAGGCTTGGACCGATCTGGCACCACGTTCTCCTTTTCCTAGTAAGTTTCTCTCATGCTGATTTCCTTTCCTCTCTCCTCCCCTTTTCCTCCCCCCTCTTTCCCTTCTCTCACATCACGGTATTCACATCCACATCAGATACGGCGACCTCATGCCACGTGGCAAAGTGTCTATGAACATGAAGGGTCGTCGGCTATCCACGTCATCACACTTGATCTTACCGCTCCAACAAACTTGACCGCCATGTGGCACGTGGAAAGAAGCACGCGCTCTTCTCGACGTCTCCCTGTCACACAATCAATACAACCACCCACCAACCGAAGATCCATCAATGGACTGATTAATTCATTGATTGGTCAGCCAAACAATCTATAACTTGCCAAAGCAACCACCCTAATCGCTCGATCAATCATTCAGCCTCCAAGTGTCCAATGATGAGGTGCTTACTGATACCAGGTCGACGGTGTCCCTTATCCGCTGTGCCCACCTCCGCACCCCTGGACCCCTCAAGAAACAGAAAAAGATCGATGAGGGGGTGATAGGGGGAGGTGGGGAAAGATGGGG